GCTAAAAAATTCATCGTTTGGATGTCTACTCGTTACTCATTGATGAACTAAATACGTTTGGCATGTCTTGCATAGATGTTTTGTTATCTAAACGTTCGTCCGTAACATTTAGTCGATTAATCAATCGCATATTTACTGATTTTGGATAAGGTGAATTGAGCTGAATGTCAAATGAAAATGGAGAGCATTGATGACTACGGTGCAATGGTGATTGAAATTAAAGGTGATTGCCGATCTTTGATTAAACGGCTTGGACAGCAACAATTTCAGCGTATGTTCTCTTTACTATCTCTGCAGGTTTCCAGCTTCTCCTTCTTCTTCTTCTTCTTCCTCTTTTTCCTCTTGTTATTCTGATATCAAGAAAGAATATAAAGTTTTGTATGAAATGTATAAAACGCATCAAATACAATAGGACAATTGCTAATCATCATCAATTGGTGTTGATTTATGAAAGTGTGTGCACAAATTTTCAATCAGGAATTTTCCCGTTATCGTCGTCTCTGTCTGTAAATATAGATAAATGAATGGAGGTGAAGCAACTGATGATTCACAATGAAGGCAATCCAGGATTTTAAAGCTAATTTTTCTTTCGCCTAGTCTTTTTTTTTTTTTTGCTTTTTTTCAATCCTGTTTTTATTTTCACTTTTTTTTTACTTTTTTTTTCTCCAAAAAGACCTCAAATGTGAATCGAAAAGCTGAGTGAAAAAGAGTGCTGTATAAATTGTTTTTTTTTTTTTTTTTCATTTGACTTGCAAATAATACATTTTTGATAGTTTTATAATTGAAAACGAACAGCAAAGAGGACAAAACAAAATCACCAAAATTAGAGAACATTGTAGACTAATGGTTTGTTTTCCATCGTTTTTCTTTCATTTTTCTTTTCGTTCTTATTCCCCATTCTCCTCAATCTTCTCATACAAATATTATTTTGTAGCTGTTTTTCCTCTTTTTTTTTTCAAAGGTTCTTCTTTTTCAACAGATTAAAAGCAAAATAACAGGGGAGAAATCAATGAATTATATACATATTTATAATATACTAAAAGAAATTAACCAACAATAGCAAATAAGCGGAAAAAAAAATACAGTAGAACGTACAAAATTTTTTAACACATTTGATATAATCCTCGTCAAACTATGAAGTTGCGAAGCTATTGATTGTACCTTTTTTTTTTTTCTGGGAAACTGCAAGTTAAACCGTAGCAAAATTGAAAATTTCATCATAAGAATTAGATAAACAAAAAAAAAGAACTTTTTTTTGGTCACTGACACTAATTATTTGTAAAAAGTTCAATATGAATAAAGAATTAACACAGTAAAATTTTTTTGGGGACGGCGGTAGGTTGAGGACGAAGGCTGATTAGGAAGGGGACGACAAATTGATATTACAGCAAAAAAACTTTCTTATTAGTTAAATTAAGTTTTTTTCTACTTTCTCTCTTTTTAACTTTTGGACTAGGTTTAAAATTTTCATTCTTAGAGTATTTTATTGTACTGCACTCTGAAAAGTATAATTAGTATTAACAAATCCATCTGTCTATCAATTTATCCGTCTATCTGTTTATCTGTCTATCCATCCACCTATATATAAATATTTAATTATATTATTTATTTATTTACATTTACTGTGTAAATGTGTATGTTCGTGTCCCTACGTTAGCGTTTCATCTGGAAACCCATTTAAGAATATACCGACTTTACGCTGAAAGAACGGTGAAGCATGAAAGTGGCAAATCTTATCTCGCCATCAGTATTAGTGGCAGTCAATATCATCAACTGAGAAGAGAAAGCCGTGAACATAGCTGAACCTATCTGTCGCTGGGAAGATACTGTTGTTGGATTTTTTTACCAGTGGTATGTGTGAGTCATATAACTATATATTTTCTCTGTTGCATAGTTGGATGTGTATATAACCATGAAATAAGGTTTTTTACCCCAGTACTTTTCTGTAGATGAATTTTTGCACGAATTTTCGTTGTGGTAAAAAGTATTTTCGTCACTATCGCCATCATCTTCATCATCGATAACGGCAGCATCAGCACCAACAATTAGCACCTCATACTGCTGGTATTGGCGAATATCATCATCCGTAGATTCCTGTAATGAACTCAGCAATTTTGAACCAATTCCCTCTTCATTCTTCAGGTTTCTTTCGTCCCCATTAGTTTGTGTCTTTCTTTTTTTTTTTTGAAATATTTCTTAGCAACGAAAACAAAACTGGTTGAAAAAGCCAAAGCGACTGAAAAAGCATTTTTTTTACCGGCTGATGATAATGATTTAATGTCGTTTTTCTACTGAGCCATTGCGGAGAGAAAATAAAAAGAAAGAGAAAAACAAAGAAGGGGAAAAATGAAATGGAGTATAGTAAAGCACAATTTTCAGTCTGATCTTTTAGACTTCCTTCCATAAAAAATACAATTTTTTTTCAGTTTCTTGCTTTTCTTCCACCCACTACTTTCTACTAACACCTTTCGTGTCTTATAAGAAGAAGCCTGAAAACGTAGAATAGAAAAAGAGAACAAAAACTTGAACAAAAAGTTGATGGCAACCAGCAGTTATGGTTACACTGTTGGTTTTTGTTGCCTTTCTTGATAGCGAACAAAGTTTGAACAAAAAGATAATTCCCAACCCCTTATCCTTTTCTGTTTTCCGCTGTTTTCCTTCGAATATAAACAGCTAAAATACCTATTTTTAATTTTTAAAATGAAAGAGCATTTGATAGGCTCAATTATCACTTTTTAGCTGAAGGTATCAATGAATGAACTTAAAACTTGAACAAAAAAAAAAATGCAAATCTTCCTCTGTTTCCTTGCAATTCCAGTAGTTGGTCTATCCCCTTCCTCTTCATCTTTTCTTTTCCTATTCAATCGGTCAGCATTTTCATTTGCTACAGTTTATATTCCATCACTAAGCACAGACACAAACAGCAGAAAAAAAAAAAAAAAAAACTTTCATTTAAATTTATTGAAAATCAAATAAAATTGTCTACGCTCCTTTCTTTTAAAAGCAAAACATTGAGAGGGAAGCGTAGTGGTGGCACAGCAAAACAGGGAGTGAAAGGATCAATATAAAAAATATCGAGTTAAAAAAAAAAAAAAGAAAAAAGATGTAAAAAAGCCGCAAATAAATAAGAAAATTGACTTTTGAAAAAAAGGAAAAAAAAAAGCTTACTAAAATCTACCAAACAAAATAA